GGGAAAAAATGGGAAATGGAGGGGAAAAAAAAGGGAAATGGAGGGGAAATGGAGGGAAAAAAGGGGAAATGTATAAAAAAATGGGAAATGTAAAAAAAATGGGAAATATATTTAAAAAAAGGGAAATATGTAAAAAAAAATGGGAAATGCAGGGGAAATGGAGGGGAAAAAACGGGAAATGTATAAAAAAAAGGGAAATGTATGAAAAAATGGGAATGTATAAAAAAAATGGGAAATGTATAAAAAAAATGGGAAATGTATGAAAAAATGGGAAATGTATAAAAAAATGGGAAATGTATAAAAAAAATGGGAAATGTATTAAAAAATGGGAAATGTATAAAAAAAATGGGAAATGTATAAAAAAAATGGGAAATGTATAAAAAAATGGGAAATGTATAAAAAATTGGGAAATGTATAAAAAGGGAAAATGTATAAAAAAATGGGAAATGTATAAAAAAAATGGGAAATGTATAAAAAAATGGGAAATGTATAAAAAATTGGGAAATGTATAAAAAAATGGGAAATGTATAAAAAAAATGGGAAATGTATAAAAAATGGGAAATGTATAAAAAATGGGAAATGTATAAAAAAAATGGGAAATGTATAAAAAAATGGGAAATGTATAAAAAAATGGGAAATGTATAAAAAAAATGGGAAATGTATAAAAAATGGGAAATGTATAAAAAAAATGGGAAATGTATAAAAAAATGGGAAATGTATAAAAAAAATGGGAAATGTATAAAAAAAAGGGAAATGTATGAAAAAATGGGAAATGTATAAAAAATGGGAAATGTATAAAAAATGGGAAATGTATAAAAAAATGGGAAATGTATAAAAAAATTGGGAATATATAAAAAAAAAGGGAAATGTATAAAAAAATGGGAAATGTATAAAAAAATGGGAATTGTATAAAAAATGGGAAATGTATAAAAAAAATGGGAAATGTATAAAAAAAATGGGAAATGTATAAAAAAAATGGGAGATGCAGGGGGAAATGGGAAATGCGAGGGGAAATGGGAAATGAAAATGAAGGGGGAAAATGGGAAATGGAGAGGAAAAAATGGGGAAATGTAGGGAAAAATGGGAAATTCAGGGGAAAACGGCAAATGCAGGGGGAAATGGGAAACGTAGCAAAAAAATGGGAAATGTAGGGGAAAATGGGAAGTACAGAGAAAAATATGGGAAATGCAGGGGAAAATGGGAAATGAAGGGGCAAATCAGAAATGTAGAAAAAAAAATTGGGAAATGCAGGGGAAAAATAGGAAATTAAGAGAAAAATGGGAAATGTAGATAAAAATGTGAAATGTAGAAAAAAAGAATGGGAATGAAGGGAAAATGGGAAATGTAGGGGGAAATAGGAAATGTAGAAAAGAAATGGGAAATGCAGGGGGAAATGGGAAATGTATAAAAAAATAGGAAATGTAAGAAAAAAATGGGAAATGTAGGGGAAAAATGGGAAATATATTTTAAAAAATGGGGAATGCAGGGGGAAAATGGGAAATGCAGGGGGAAAATGGGAGATGTATAAAAAATAGGAAATGTAAGAAAAAAAATGGGAAATGTAGGGAAAAAATGGGGAATGTATTAAAAAAAAGAAAATGTAGGGAAAAGAATGGGAAATGAAGGGGAAATGGGAAATGCAGGGAAAAATGGGAAATGTAGGAAAAAATGGGAAATGTAGGAAATAAAATAGGAAATGCAGGGGAGGGAAATGGGAAATGAAGGGAAAAAAAGGGAAATGTAGGGAAAAATGGGAAACGTATTAAAAAATGGGAAATGTATTAAAAAAATGGGAAATGTATTAAAAAAATGGGAAATGTAGGGGGAAATGGGAAATGTAGGGGAAAATGGGAAATGCTAATGTTAATTAAAAATTAAAGCTGTTTTTTTTGTGAGCAGCCCCTCCAAGATGGAAAATCCAAGGACTGGAATTCTCCTTGGAAATCCCAATTTTCACCTCCCAGGCCACGATCCTTTCTCATTTCTGTTGTTAATTATATTAATTAGCAGCAATGAAAGCAATAATTAACATGAAATTAATCATCTCCAAGCCAGCCCTGTGAGGATCCAGGTGCCATCCTTGAAAACATCCAAAAATCTTGGAAAATCCCCCAAAATTTCCCCCAAAAAGAGACAAATCCCACCCAAACCCAACCCCAGGATGCTCCTGGATGCTCCAATCCTGGATTTTTCCAGGTGGAAACATTCCCAGAGAACATTCCCAAGGTTTTCCCATCCAAAATTCCCATTCCTGGAAACAACAAAAATCAGGACAAGCAACACCAAAGAGCTGAGCACGAAGGGGAGGGGAAAAAAGGGAATAAATCACTCTGGAAATTAAAGGAATTAAAGGAATTAAAATAATTCCTGAATTCCTAAAATCCATGGCAGCAGCTGCTGGAATCAAGGAAATGCAGAATTTTGATCCATCAAATCTATTTTTGGAGCTGGGTTGTGTCCCAAGGCTGAGTTCTGGATTAAAATATTTATTAAAAAATCATAATTGCAACCAAAATTGTGTTCTCTGTGCTGGGCCTGGAGGAGCTTTTGCCCCCCCAAAAAAGGAGGAAAATTCCCCCCAAAAAGGAGGAAATTCCCCCAAAAAAGGAGGAAATTTCCAAACAAAAAAAGGAGGAAATTGGAGAATGGGAAATGTTTGAGACTCAGGGTCTCAGTAGAGGTGTCCTGTTGTGGAAGCAGCAAAATATGGCAAAAAAAAAGGGGAAAATTTGAATTTTTGCCTATTTGCAGCAATTGTGAAGGAGGAAAATCCCAAATTTCTCCTGCAAAAATCCCAAATTTTTCCCTCTGTGCAGCCACTGGAGTTTAAATTGGAATTAAACTGGAATTAAAGTGGAATTCAAGGGCTGCAGCACAGCTGGGAACAGGAAATGCAGCTCCTGGATTTTACCCCATGGGTTTTTTTCAATAAATTATTTTTGATGCTCCTTTTCCTCCCAAAAATCAACTAAAATCCAGGTATTTTATAATTTCTACAGGAGCTGAGGGAAGGAATTGAATTATTGAAAATAATTTTAATTTAGGAACATCTCAGCACCAAAAAACTGTGGAATCCTTCATTTTCCCCCGAAATATTTTGTGATTTCTGCAGGAGCTGAGGGAAGGAACTGAAGTAATCAAACCAATTAAAATAATGCGAATTTAGGAACAGTTCAACACCACAAAACTGTGGAATCCTTCATTTTTCCCCCCAAATATTTCCTGATTTCTGCAGAAGCAGAGGGAAGGAATTAAACCAATTAAACCAATTAAAATAATTTGAATTTAGGACCACCACAAAACTGTGGAATCCTTCGTTTTCCCCTCAAAGTATTCCCTGATTTCTGCAGGAGTTGAGGGAAGAAATTAAAGCAATGAAAAAAATTTTAATTTAGGAACAGCTCAACACCACAAAACTGCAGAATCCTTCGTTTTTTTCCCCCAAAATATTTTGTGATTTCTGCAGGAGCTGAGGGAAAGAATTAAACCAAATAAAATAATTTCAATTTAGGACCACCTCAACACCACAAAACTGCAGAATCCTTCATTTTCCTGAAGGATTTATTAATATCAACTAAAATATTTCCCGACTTCTGCAGGATCTGAGGGGAAAAATTAAAGCAATTAAACCAATCAAAATAATTTGAATTTAGGGCCACCTCAACACCACAAACACCCAGCACACAGAAATCACCCCATCCATTTTCCCACGCGCAGAACTCGATTTTATTCCAATTTCTCATTCAAAAAAACCCAAAAAACCCCAATTTTGCCTCTCCTTGCCAGCAGCTGAGCGGGGAGGGAGGAATTTGGGGAGCTCTAAGGATGAGGGGTGACAAAGCAAAGCCACCAGGGAGGTGACGCTGTCCTTACCTGTCAGGGGCTGGCCCAGCTCCGCCTGCACTTTACCCTTGGCTGCTCCTTCCAGAGGTAAAGCACCTCTGTCCCCTTTGTAGAGTTTCGGTTTAAATGGAGAATCTTTGTCTTTACCTTTTGATCCTTTGGGCCTGCCCGCCTGCTTCTTCTTGGATTTACCGTCGCCCTTCACGCCCAGCAGCGGGTGCACCTCTGGGGAGGCGGAAATTGGGGTTTGGGGTGAGTTGAAATGCTGAAATGTTGGGATCAGATCCCTCTCAAGGCCCCAAATCCCTGAAATCCTGATCAGATCTCTCCGAATGCCCTTGGGATCAGATCCTTCCCAACACCCCAAAAGGCTCAGGATCAGATCCCTCCAAATGCCCCAAACCCCTTGGGACTGGATCCCTCTGAATGCCACAAAACCCCTGGGATCAGATCCCTCCCAAACCCCAAATCCCTTGGGATCAGATCCTTCCCAAAACCCCAAAACCCTTGGGGATTGGATCCCTCCCAAAACCTCAAACCCCTCAGGACCAGATCCCTCCCAATGCCCTAAAACCCTTGGGCATCAGATCCCTTCCAAAACCCCTGGAAAAAGACCCCTCCCAAAATCCCAAACCCCTCAGGATCAATCGCCCAACACACCAAACCCCTCAGGATCAACCCCCAACACCCCAAACCCCTCAGGATCAGATCCCAACACTCCCAAACCCCTCAGGATCAGATCCCAACACCCCAAACCCCTCAGGATCAGACCCCAACACCCCAAACCCCTCAGGATCAACCCCCAACAACACCCCAAACCCCTCAGGATCAGACCCCAACACCCCAAACCCCCTCAGGATCAACCCCCAAAACCCCAAACCCCTCAGGATCAGACCCCAACACCCCAAACCCCCTCAGGATCAACCCCCAACACCCCAAACCCCTCAGGATCAGACCCCAATCACCCCAAACCCCTCAGGATCAACCCCCAACACCCCAAACCCCTCAGGATCAACCGCCCAACACCCCAAACCCCTCAGGATCAACCCCCAACACCCCAAACCCCTCAGGATCAACCCCCAACAACACCCCAAACCCCTCAGGATCAGACCCCAACACCCCAAACCCCCTCAGGATCAACCCCCAAAACCCCAAACCCCTCAGGATCAGACCCCAACACCCCAAACCCCCTCAGGATCAACCCCCAACACCCCAAACCCCTCAGGATCAACCCCCAACACCCCAAACCCCTCAGGATCAGACCCCAACACCCCAAACCCCTCAGGATCAGACCCCAATCACCCCAAACCCCTCAGGATCAGACCCAAATCACCCCAAACCCCTCAGGATCAACCCCCAACACCCCAAACCCCTCAGGATCAGATCCCAACACTCCCAAACCCCTCAGGATCAGACCTCTCCCAACATCCCTTGGTATCAGACCCCTCCCAATCACCCCAAACCCCTTGGGATCAACCCCCCAACACCCCAAACCCCTCAGGATCAACCCCCAACACACCAAACCCCTTGGGATCAAACCCCCAACACACCAAACCCCTCAGGATCAACCCCCAACACCCCAAACCCCTCAGGATCAGACCCCAACACCCCAAACCCCTCAGGATCAGACCCAAATCACCCCAAACCCCTCAGGATCAACCCCCAACACCCCAAACCCCTCAGGATCAGACCCCAACACCCCAAACCCCTCAGGATCAGATCCCAACACCCCAAACCCCTCAGGATCAGATCCCAACACCCCAAACCCCTCAGGATCAACCCCCAACACCCCAAACCCCTCAGGATCAGACCCCAACACCCCAAACCCCTCAGGATCAGACCCCAACACCCCAAACCCCTCAGGATCAGACCCAAATCACCCCAAACCCCTCAGGATCAACCCCCAACACCCCAAACCCCTCAGGATCAGATCCCAACACCCCAAACCCCTCAGGATCAACCCCCAACACCCCAAACCCCTCAGGATCAGCCCCCAACACCCCAAACCCCTCAGGATCAGCCCCCAACACACCAAACCCCTCAGGATCAGACCCCAACACCCCAAACCCCCTCAGGATCAACCACCCAACACCCCAAACCCTCTCCGCCCTCCCACCCACCGTCATTGGGGACTCCCTGCAGCTCGATGTTGGTGGTTTTGGGTTTTTTCTTGGGGTTCTGGGGCCCGTCCGAGGAGCCGGGCCGCTTCTTGTCGGGGCCCAGGGCGTCGTCGGGCAGCGCCCCGGGCACGGCCTCGGGCGGGGGCCCGTACGGGTTCTCCTCGGGGTCCTCCACCTCGGGGGCGATGGGCAGGTACAGCAGCGCCCGCGCGTCCTCCAGCTCCTCGTCGCTGCGGGACACACGGACAGAGGGGTTGGCGTGGGGGTTTTGGGGTTTGGGATGGGGATGGTGGGGTTTGGGATGGGAGTTTTGGGGTTTGGGATGGGAGTTTTGGGGTTTAGGATGGGAGTTTTGGGGTTTGGGGTGGGGATGGTGGGGTTTGGGATGGGAGTTTTGGGGTTTAGGATGGGAGTTTTGGGGTTTGGGGTGGGGATGGTGGGGTTTGGGATGGGAGTTTTGGGGTTTGGGATGGGTATTTTGGGGTTTGGGATGGGAGTTTTGGGGTTTAGGATGGGAGTTTTGGGGTTTAGCATGGGAGTTTTGGGGTTTGGATGGGAATTTTGGGGTTTGGGATGGGAGTTTTGGGGTTTAGCATGGGAGTTTTGGGGTTTAGCATGGGAGTTTTGGGGTTTGGATGGGAATTTTGGGATTTGGGGGAGTAGGGACAGGCAGGGTGGGGTTTGGGATGGGGATGGTGCAGTTTGGGATAGAAATTGTGGGGTTTGGGTTGAGGATGGTGGGGTTTGGGATGTGAATTTTGGGGTCTGGGACGGGAATTTTGGGATTTTGGGGGAGTGGGGACAGGCAGGGTGGGGTTTGGGATAGAAATTTTGGGGTTTGGGGTGGGGATGGCGGGGTTTGGAATGGGAATGGTCAGCAATGGGAGTTTGTGGGGTTTAGGGTGGGAGCTGGAAAGGGATGGTAGGGTTTGGGGGGGTGGTGTGGCATGGAATAGGAATTTTGGGGTTTGGAATAGGAATTTTGGGGTTTGGAATGGGGTTTGGGTAGGAATTTGTGGAGTTTGGAATGGTGTCTGGGGTGCAGACGGTGGGGTTTGGGACAGGAATTTTGAGGTTTGGAATGGGAATTTTGGGGTTTGGGGTGGGAATTTCAGGGTTTGGGGTGGGGCTTGTAATGGCATTTGGGATGGGAATTTTGGGGTTTCAGGTGGGAATTTTGGGATTTGGAACAGGAGTTTTGGGGTTTTGAGATGGAGACTGGGATGAGGTTTGCAGTTTGGAATGGGAATTTTGGCGTTTGGAATGGGGCTTGTATTGGTGTTTGGGACGGGAATTTTGGGGTTTGGAACGGAGTTTGGAATGCGAGTGGTAGGGTTTGGAACAGGAATTTTGAAGTTTGGGATGGGGTTTGGGGTGGTTTGGAACAGGAATTTTGGGGTTTGGAATGGGAATGTTGGGGTTTGGAATGAGGTTTGGAATGAGGTTTGGAATGGGGTGTGGGATGGGAATTTGGTGTTTGGGAATGGGAATTTTGGGGTTTGTAACAGGAATTTTGGGGTTTGGGATGCAAATTTTGGGGTTTGGGACAGGAATTGTGAGGTTTAGGATGAGAATTTTGGGGTTTGGAATGGGAATTTTGGGGTTTGGAATGGGAATTTTGGGGTTTGCAACAGGAATGTTTAAAGGGAATGTTGTGGAGCATAAAGGGAAGGTTCTATGGAGGTTAATTAGTGCCCATTAACGATTTTCAGGCTCAGGGTTGAACTCCAGGGCCTGGCACCTGCTGCAGAAGGCGGCGATGGGATCCACGCTGGTCACGTCCACCTCCTCATCCTCTGCAGCATCTGCACCTGGGACCAGGGAAAACGGGAATTAAAGACAGGAAAAACACCTGGGACAGCAAAAAATAACCTGGAGAATTTCCTGTCACAGCAGGAAAAAACCCCAAAAAAACCCCACTGAAATATTTCTTACTATGGCACAAAACGAGCCTAAAATAATTCACATTAAAGCACAAAACACACTTAAATATTTCCTATTAAAGCAAAAAACAAATCTAAAATGTTTCCTATTATAACACGAAACAAGCCTAAAATAATTCACATTAAAGAAAACAAATATTTCCTATTAAAGCAAAAAATAAATCTTAAATATTTCTTAATAAAACACAAACCAGACCTAAAGTAATTAATATCAAAGCCCTAAAATATTTTCTATTAAAGGAGGAAACAAATCTAAAATGTTTCTTATTAAAGCACAAAAAAAATCTAAAATATTTCCTTTTAAAGCACAATAACCTAAAATAATTCCTATTAAAGCACAAAACAAACCTAAAATATTTCCTTTTAAAGCAGAAAACCTCTAAAATAATTAATATTAAAATATTGTTAAAATCCAATTAATTAAATTATGGGAAGTGCTTTTATAGAAGTATTAATGAGGAATAATTCTCATTCCAATTATTTTTCATATTCCAGGATTTTAATTTTTTTTTCTCCTGGATTTTGGGCACCACCACGTGGCCAGGGAGGATCTCAGGGAAGCAGGGAATTCCATAGGATTTTTTGGGAATTTTTTGGGATTTTTTGAGAACTTTTTGGGGAATTTTGGGGGATTTTTTGAGAACTTTTTGGGGAATTTTGGGGGATTTTTTGAGAACTTTTTGAGAACTTTTAGGGGAATTTTTGGAGCAGCACCTGTCTGCTCTGGCTCGCTCTTATCCTCGTCCTCAATGTCAAATTCTGATTCTCTCTCCTCATATTCCACATTTTCATCCAACTCCTTGAAATCAGGGGCAAAAGCACTCCAGTTTTCCTGAAAAAATCATAAAAAATCAGTTTCAATATAAACAAACAGCATTGAATTCCTGGAATTTTGAGGAATTAAATCCTGGAGGGGTTTAAAATATAGATGGGTGAAGGAGAAAGTTGGGAATGGCTGGAATTGGGGATCTGGGAGGGTTTTTCCAACTTGATTTATTTTGTGGATCTGCAATCTTGTTGAAATACAATAAAAGCATTAAAAATTGAGGAAAATCCCATAAAAGCATTAAAAAAATCAAAGAATACACATCCACCTGAATCACCCCTGGAATTAAAGGAGGGAACAATTCCACAGAAAATGTCCCTGGGATGGAGTTTAAGGATGAACCCAAAGCTAAGCTGGAGCTTTGAGCTTGAAATCCCAAATTAAAATGAAGCAGGAAAGCCCAAAAGTGAGTTGGAATGGGAATTTTTCAAGGATTTCAACACATAAAAAATTGATTCCGGGGGGGATTATGGAATTCCAGGTGGGTTCGGGTGGAAAGGGAGCTTAAATCCCATCCCATCCCTTGGGCAGGGACACCTTCCACTATCCAAGGGTCCCATTTTATCCTTTTTATCCATTTTATCAATTTTATCCATTCTATCCACTGTCCAATCTGGCCTGAGACACCCCCAGGGATGGGGCAGTCATGGATTCTGGGAATTTGCAGGCTGGGAATGAGTCTGGAATCCTGAAATTGGGATTTTTTTAGAGAATTATGGGTTGGGTTGATTTGGAAGGGATCATCCAATCCCATGGGCAGGGACATCTCCCACCATCCCAGGGTCCCATTTTATCCATGTTTTCCATTTTATCCATTGTCCAACCCACCCTGGGACACTCCCAGGGATGGAGCAGCCACAGCTCCTCTGGGAATTCCATCCCAGCCCCTCCCAGGGATGGATTTATTCCCAAAATCTCATCCAAACCAACAGAGAATCCTGGACTGGTTTGGATTGGAAGTTTCACACTTCTCCCTAGCCCAGGCTGCTCCAACCTGGCCTGGAACACTTTCAGGGATGGAACAGCCAAAATTTCCATGGAAAAACCCCTTCCAGACCCTACTCCCAAGGGAATGAGCCCAAACCCTGACTCACCACTTGGTTCTGAACCATTAAATCCTGGAATGCTCGGGGTTGGAAGGGATCACCAGCTCCACACTTCTCCCTATCCCAGACTGCTAAAAATTGTCTGGGACACTTCCAAGGATGGAACAGCCAAAATTTCCCTGGACAAACCCATTCCAGACCCTATGCCCAAGGGATGACCCCAAAGCCTGACTGACCACTTGGTTCTGAGCCCATGAAATCCAGGACTGGTTTGGCTTGGAAGGGATCACCAGCTCCACACTTCTCCCTATCCCAGATTGCTCCAAATTGCCTGGGACACTCCCAGGGATGGAGTAGCCAAAATTTCCATGGACAAGGCTGTTCCAGACCCTATTCCCAAGGGAATGACCCCAAAGCCTCACTCAGCTCTTGGTTTTGAGCCCATTAAATCCTGGACTGGTTTGGGTTGGAAGGGATCATCAGCTCCACACTCTTCCCTATTCCAGGTTGCTCTTATCTGGCCTGGGACACTCCCAGGGATGGAACAGCCAAAATTTCACATTCCAGACCCTATTCCCAAGGGAATAACCCCAAACCCTGATTCATTACTTGGTTCTGAACCATTAAATCCTGGAATGCTTTGGGTTGGAAGAGATCACCAGCTCCACACTTTTCCCTATCCCAGGCTGCTCCAAATTGCCTGGGACACTTCCAGGGATGGAACAGCCAAAATTTCCCCATTCCAGACCCTATTCCCAAGGGAATGACCCCAAAGCCTCACTCACCACTTGGTTCTGAGCCCAGATGGAAACCACCCCGCTGGAGATGGAGGCGATGATCGGCCGCACCGGGTGCCACTGCAATCAACGAGGAGACCAAAAAAACCCCTTTAATTAGCAAACACGAGGGGCTGTGCCAGCTGGATTCCCACATCCCAGGGATCTCCAGGGGCTGGGGGGGTGCTCACTGCCACGTCCAGGAGCAGCTCCCCGCGGGTTCCGTGCAGGATCTTCACCAGGTTGCCGATGCTCTTCTCCCAGATGTAGAGCGCGTGCTGCCGCGCCGAGCCCGCCACGATGTACTCACCGTCCCCCGAGAAGCAGCACTTCTTCCAGGGGGTCCTGCAGCCAGGAAAACAGGGATGAGAATGCCTTGAGGTTTAGCATTTGTGGTTTTCAGATTCTGGGCTGCTTTTGTATTTAATTTTTTAAAATTGTTATTTATATTGAAGCTTTATGTGCATCCCCTGAGAATGGGGGCAGCACTTCTTCCAGGGGGTCCTGCAGCCAGGAAACAGGGTGGGATGGGTCAGGTTTTATCTTTTATGGTTTTCAGATTCCGGGCTGATTTTACATTTAATTTTTAAAAATTATTATTATTTATATTTAAGCTTTATATCCATCCCCCGAGAAGCAGCACTTCTTCCAGGGGGTCCTACAGCCAGGAAAACAGGGATGAGAATGCCTTGAGAGTTTTATCTTTTATGGTTTTCAGATTTCGGGCTGTTCTTATATTTAAGGGGGATTTTTTGTGGCTTTTTTTTTTTTTCGTTGTTTGCTTGGGGTTTTTTATTATTTATATTTAAGCTTTAAATTTTACATTTTATAAAATACAATAACAGCTTTTATATTTTATATTTTTAGCTTTTATATTTTTCAGATTCTGTGCCTCAGGTTTTAGCTTTTGTATTTCTCAGATTCTTCTCCAAACTCCTCTCTCGCGATCCTCCCCTGTCCCCAGGCTCCTCTCCACACCCCTCAGCTGTCCCGTCCCCAGGCCCTGCCCTGTCCCCAGGCTGTCCCCAGGCTGTCCCCACCTGTTGGCCAGGTCCTGCAGTTTCTGCATGGGCTCGGGCTCGCCATCCCCATGCCCTGCTCTGTCCCCAGCCCTGTCCCCATGTCCTGCCCCATCCTGAGGCCCTGCCCTATCCCCATGTCCCTGCCCTGTCCCCAGGCTGTCCCCAGGCCCTGTCCTGTCCCCACCTGTTGACCAGGTCCTGCAGTTTCTGCATGGGCTCGGGCTCGCCATCCCCATGCCCTGCTCTGTCCCCAGCCCTGTCCCCATGTCCTGCCCCATCCTGTGGCCCTGCCCTATCCCCATGTCCCTGCCCTGTCCCCAGGCTGTGACCAGGCCCTGTCCTGTCCCCAGGCCCTGCCCTGTCCCCAGCTGTCCCCACCTGTTGACCAGGTCCTGCAGTTTCTGCATGGGCTCGGGCTTGCCATCCCCATGCTGTCCCCATGCCCCTGCCCTGTCCCCAGCTGTTCCCAGGCCCTGCCCTGTCCCCAGGCTGTCCCCAGGGCTGTCCCAGGCTGTCCCCACCTGTTGACCAGGTCCTGCAGTTTCTGCATGGGCTCGGGCTCGCCGTCGCGGCCGCAGGTCAGGATCTCCCGCCCGTCGTAGACGCGGATGATGCGGTCGGCCGTGTTGATCAGGAAACAGCTGCACCAAAACGGGGACAAATCAATGAAAAACCAATCAATCAATCAATTACAAATCCTGACCTGTGGGAGAATTGGGGGGTTTGAGGAGCTCTCTGCAGTTTTGGGGTGCCCCCGGGGCGCTCACCTCCCTTTGCGGGCGAACTCGATGGATTTAATGGCCGTGGTGTTGCTGGTCCCTGTGGTCACTCTGAAGGAAGCAACAAGATCCTGAGTGTCTGTTTTTAAGACCAAGATCTGAAGATTGAGCAGACAGAGAACAATCAGTGGCTTCACCTGCAACAGAACCCTGGGAGCCCACCCGGGGACGCTGCAGGAGCTGCTGAGACAGAAAGGCCAGGGAAACATCCCAAAAATGTGTCAGAACCAAAGTCAAAGATCCCAGAATCCCTGAGGTTGGAAAACTCCTCAAGCAGTCCCTCACCTGTTCCCCAAACCCTGCAGCCATCCCTGTTCCCCAAAGCCATCCCTGTGCCTGTCCCTATTTCCCAAAGCCTTCCTTGTGCACCTCACCTGCTCCTCAAATCTATTCCTCTTCCTCAAACTCATCCCTGTGCCCCATATCCATTTCTGCTCCCCAAATCCATCCCTGTGCCCCTCACCTTTCCCCCAAATCTATTCCTGCTCCCCAAATCCCTCTCTGCCTCTCACTGTTCCCCAAACCCTTCCCTGTGCCCCTCACCTGTTCTCCAAATCCATTCTGGTTCCCAAACCCAAACCTGTGACTGTCTCTCTTCCACAAACCCAAACCCGTGGTCCTCACTGTTCCCCAAATCCATTCCTGCCCCTCAAACTCATCCCTGTGCCCCAAATCCATCACCTGTTCCCCAAATTCCTCCCTGTGCCCCTCACCTGTTCTCCAAACCCATCTCTGTTCCCAAACCTAAACCTGTGACTGTCTCTGTTCCCCAAACCCCTCCCCGTGCCCCTGGCTGTTCCCCAAACCCATTCTAGCTCCCCAAACCCATCCCTGTGCCCCTCATTGCTCCCCAAATCCCTCCCTGTGCCCCTCACTGCTCCCCAAACCCCTCTCTGTGCCCCTCACTGCTCCCCAAACCCCTCTCTGTGCCCCTCAAACCCCTCTCCACATCCCTCACTCCTCCCCAAACCCCTCTCCATGCCCCTCATTGCTCCCCAAACCCCTCCCTGTGCCCCTCACTGCTCCCTAAACCCATCCCTGTGCCCCTCAAACCCCTCTCCACATCCCTCACTCCTCCCCAAACCCCTCTCTGTGCCCCTCACTGCTCCCTAAACCCATCCCTGTGCCCCTCACTGCTCCCCAAACCCCTCCCTGTGCCCCTCAAACCCCTCTCTGTGCCCCTCATTGCTCCCCAAACCCATCCCTGTGCCCCTCACTGCTCCCCAAACCCCTCCCTGTGCCCCTCAAACCCCTCCCTGTGCCCCTCACTGCTCCCCAAACCCCTCTCTGTGCCCCTCACTGCTCCCCAAACCCATCCCTGTGCCCCTCACTGCTCCCCAAAGCCCTCCCTGTGCCCCTCACTGCTCCCCAAACCCCTCCCTGTGCCCCTCACTGCTCCCCAAACCCCTCCCTGTGCCCCTCAAACCCCTCTCTGTGCCCCTCATTGCTCCCCAAACCCATCCCTGTGCCCCTCACTGCTCCCCAAACCCCTCCCTGTGCCCCTCAAACCCCTCCCTGTGCCCCTCACTGCTCCCCAAACCCCTCCCTGTGCCCCTCACCCCTCGAGGTGCCCCATCCCCACCCTGGGCACTCAGCGCCACCCCCAGAGACGCAGACCCCAAACCCCCCTGGGCCCCCCCAACCCCTGACCCCCCATTCCCAGGAGGAATTCCCGCTGCTGCCCAGCCTGGCCCTGCCCTGGGGGCAGCCAGGGGTGCCCAGAGGGCCGGGCAGGGGCTGACCTTGCCCTTGGCATTGCCAGTGTAGATGTATTCCCCGCGGCGGTCGAACGAGGCCACCACGTTGAGGTCGGAGTCGTCGTCCACGGGCAGCACCACGTGCTTGGAGTCTGACAGGGTCAGCATCACCGGCGCCGACTTCATGGGGCACACCAGCACCCTGTTCCTGAAACAGCAGCACAAGGTGGGAATTCCTGCCTCCTTTGGGAAGGGATTCCATGGTTAGAGATAAAAAAGATCGACCTGGATTGAGGAATATTTTGGAAAAGGATTTCCAGCAAAAAGAGCACTGAGCTGGATTGAGGAATTGAGGAAATCTTGGGAAGGGTTTCCATGGTTAGAGCAAAACAAGCATGGAGGTGGATCGAGGAATTCAGATTTTGGGAAGGGTTTCCATGTTTAGAGCTAGAAAAGCATGGAGGTGGATTGAGGAATTCAGATCTTGGGAAGGGGCCTTCCATGGCTAGAGCAAAACAAAGCATGGAGGTGGATTGAGGAACTCAGGATATCTTGGGAAGGGTTTCTATGTTTAGAGCAAAAAAAGCATCAAGTTGGATCAAGGAATTCAGAATATCTTGGAAAAGGATTTCCAGCAAAAAGAGCACTGAGCTGGATTGAGGAATACAGGATATATTGGGAAGGGTTTCCATGGTTAGAACTAAAAAGCGTGGAGGTGGATCAAGGAATATCTTGGAAAAGGATTCCCAGCAAAAAAAGCACCAAACTGGATAAAGGAATTCAGGATATTTCTGTTTCTATGTTGTTTTATCCTTAGTACTTAGACAGCAAAATGATGTGAAGTTCAGCTCTACTTTAACTTCCTTTTCTTCCCTGAGTTTGTGCAGGAATTTTAAACCCAAGGACACATTCCCACACTGATTTCCAAGAGTTCCCTCCCATCCCAACCCTCCAAAAAACCCAACCCCAACACAACCCCCCAGACCCAAAAACTTAAAAAACCACAAGAAAACCCCAAAATCAGCGGTTCCACCCCACTGGGAGCACCCCAGTCCCTCCCCATGGCACTTACAGCTCCCAGGGGTGGTACCGGACCTTGAGTCCAGTACCAGATCAACAATTCCACTTGGAAAACCACAAGAAAACCCCAAAATCAGCAGTTCCACCCCACTGGGAGCATCCCAGTCCCCTCCTAGGTTACTTACTCGTCCCGGGGTAAGTACCAGACCAACAATTCCACTTGGAAAACCACAAGAAAACCCCAAAATCAGCAGTTTCACCCCACTGGGAGCATCCCAGTTCTTTCCCAGGGCACTTACTGGTCCCGGACCAACAATTCCAGTTGGAAACCACAAGAAAACCCCAAAATCAGCGGTTCCACCCTACTGGGAGCATCCCAGTCCCTCCCCATGGCACTTACTGGTCCTGGGGGTGGTACTGAACTTTGAGTCCAGTACCAGACCAACAATTCCACTTAAAAACCACAAGAAAATGTCAAAATCAGCGGTTCCATCCCACTGGGAGCATCCCAGTCCTTCCCAGGGCACTTACTGGTCCCGGGGGTGGTACTGGACCTTGAGGATGGGCGAGGGGAAGCGGAACCTCTGGTCACAGTCCCCGGACAGCACGTCCCACTGCGACACGATGTTGTCGGTGGAGGCGCTGACCAGCTTGTGCCCATCGCGGCTCCAGCTGCAGAATGCACAGAAATGTTAGTCCTTAAAGGTTATGGGGAGGAAAGGGGTTCAGGGAATGCACAGAAAGGTTATTCCTTAAAGGTTATGGGGGAAAAGGGGCCCAGGGAATGCACAGAAAGGTTATTCCTTGAAGGTTATGGGGGAAAGGGGCTCAGGGAATGCACAGAAATGTTATTCCTTAAAGGTTATGGGGAGGAAAGGGGTTCAGGGAATGCACAGAAAGGTTATTCCTTAAAGGTTATGGGGGAAAAGGGGCTCAGGGAATGCACAGAAAGGTTATTCCTTAAAGGTTATGGGGGAAAAGGGGCTCAGGGAATGCACAGAAATGTTATTCCTTGAAGGTTATGGGGAAAAGGGGGTCAGGGAATGCACAGAAATGTTATTCCTTAAAGGTTATGGGGAGGAAAGGGGTTCAGGGAATGTACAGAAAGGTTATTCCTTAAAGGTTATGGGGGAAAAGGGGGTCAGGGAATGCACAGAAAGGTTATTCCTTAAAGGTTATGGGGGAAAAGGGGCTCAGGGAATGCACAGAAATGTTATTCCTTAAAGGTTATGGGGAGGAAAGGGGTTCAGGGAATGCACAGAAAGGTTATTCCTTAAAGGTTATGGGGGAAAAGGGGCTCAGGGAATGCACAGAAATGTTATTCCTTAAAGGTTAGGGGGTAAAGGGGTTCAGGGAATGCACAGAAATGTTATTCCTTGAAGGTTATGGGGGAAAGGGGCTCAGGGAATGCACAGAAATGTTATTCCTTAAAGGTTATGGGGAGGAAAGGGGTTCAGGGAATGCACAGAAATGTTATTCCTTAAAGGTTATGGGGGAAAAGGGGCTCAGGGAATGCACAGAAATGTTATTCCTTAAAGGTTATGGGGAGGAAAGGGGTTCAGGGAATGCACAGAAATGTTATTCCTTGAAGGTTATGGGGAGGAAAGGGGCTCAGGGAATGCACAGAAATGTTATTCCTTAAAGGTTATGGGGAGGAAAGGGGTTCAGGGAATGCACAGAAATGTTATTCCTTAAAGGTTATGGGGAGGAAAGGGGCTCAGGGAATGCACAGAAATGTTATTCCTTAAAGGTTAGGGGGTAAAGGGGTTCAGGGAATGCACAGAAATGTTATTCCTTAAAGGTTATGGGGTAAAAGGGGTTCAGGGAATGCACAGAAATGTTATTCCTTAAAGGTTATGGGGAGGAAAGGGGTTCAGGGAATGTACAGAAAGGTTATTCCTTGAAGGTTATGGGGGAAAAGGGGCTCAGGGAATGCACAGAAATGTTATTCCTTAAAGGTGGGCAGAGGGGAAAAAGAGCCCAGGGAAAAGTTATTCCTTAAAGGGGTCCAACAGAGCCAGGAGGGAAACGAGCTCAGGGAATTCCCAATAGTTATTCCTTAATGGGCAGGGGGAAAAGGAGCTCAGGGAATTCCCAATAAGTTATTCATTAAAGGGCAGAGGGGGAAAGGAGCCCAGGGAATTCCCAACAGTTATTCCTTAAAGGGATCCAATGCGGGAAGGGGGAAAGGAGCTCAGGGAATTCCCAATAAAGCTATTTCTTACAGGAATCAAACACAGCCAGGGGAAAAGGAGCTCAGGGAATTCCCAAAAAAGTTATTCCTTGAAAGGCTCAAATGCAGGCAGGGGGAAAAGAAGCTGGGGACTCCATGGGGATTCCAGGGGAATTCCATGGGGATTCCAGCAGATTCCCACAGTTCCTGGGCTCTGCTCACCAGAGGGAGCAGACGGGGTGGATGCGGGATTTTTGGGATGTGGGTTTTTGGGATTTCTGTGATTTTTGGGATCCCAGCTCACCATAGGGAGCAGACGGGGTGGATGTGGGTTTTTTGGGATTTCTGGGATTCCCAGCTCACCATAGGGAGCACACGGGGTGGATGTGGGTTTTTAGGGGAATTTTGGGATCCCAGCTCACCATAGGGAGCACACGGGGTGGATGTGGTTTTTGGGGATGTGGGATTGTTGGGATTTTTGGGATCCCAGCTCACCATATGGAGGAGACGGGGTGGATGTGGGTTTTTTGGGATTTCTGGGATTCCCAGCTCACCATAGGGAGCACACGGGGTGGATGTGGGATTTTTGGGATTTCTGGGATTCCCAGCTCACCATAGGGAGCACATGGGGTGGATGTGGGATTGCTGGGATGTGGGTTTTTTGGGATTTCTGGGATTCCCAGCTCACCACAGGGAGCGCACGAGGTGGATGTGGGTTTTTGGGGAATTTTGGGATTCCAGTTCACCAGAGAGAGCACACGGGGTGGATGTGGGATTGCTGGGATGTGGAATTGGTGGGATGTGGGTTTTTTGGGATTTCTGGGATTCCCAGCTCACCATAGGGAGCACACGGGGTGGATGTGGGTTTTTAGGGAATTTTGGGATCCCAGCTCACCATAGGGAGCAGACGGGGTGGATGTGGGATTTTTGGGATTTCTGGGATTCCCAGCTCACCATAGGGAGCACATGGGGTGGATGTGGGATTGCTGGGATGTGGGTTTTTTGGGATTTCTGGGATTCCCAGCTCACCATAGGGAGCACACGGGGTGGATGTGGGTTTTTTGGGATTTCTGGGATTCCCAGCTCACCAGAGGGAGCACACGGGGTGGATGTGGGCGCTGATGATCTTGGCGATGCCGCGCGTCAGGAAGTCCCAGATGACGATGCGCCCGTCGTTGCAGCCCACGGCCAGCAGCGTGCCCCAGCGGTTGAAGGTGCACGTCAGAGCCATGCTGATACAGTCCAGGGTCCCGTCAGCCTCCTGGGGGACAGCACGGGGACAGTGTGGGGACAACACAGAGACAGTGTGGGGACAGTGCAGGGAAGGTGGAGACAGGGTGGGGACAGTGTGGGGACAATGTGGGGACAGTGGGGACAGTGCAGGGACAGGGTGGGGACAGCACAGGCAGTGTGGGGAGAGCATGGGGGACAGGGTGGGGACAATGCAGGACAGTGCGGGGACAGTGTGGGGGAGAGTGTGGGGACAGCGCAGGCAGTGCAGGGACAGCACAGGGACATTGAGGGACAGTGTGGGGATAGCGTTGGGACAGTGCAAGGACAGTGCGGTAACAGCGTGAGGACAGCATGGGACGGTGCAGAGGACAGTGTGGGCAGTGTGGGGACAGGGTAAAGACAGTGCGGGGACAGCACGGGGACATTGAGGGGTCAATGGGAACAGGGTAGGGACAGTGGGGACAGTGTGGGGATAGCACGGGGACAGCGCGGGGGGACAGCGCAGGGACAGCGCAGGGAGTGTGGGGACAGTGAGGGGACACCATGGGGACAGCGCGGGGACAGCGCCCAGGCAGGATCCATCAGACACAGTGACATTCAGTGAGACCCAGCCAGACAAGCTCAGACTCAGTAAGACCCGGTCTGTCTGAGCCAGACCCAGTCCAGCCCACTCAGACCCTGCTGGACTCGCTCAGACCTGGCCAGAACCGATCAGACACCCAGTTAGACCCGGTCAAGCCCAGTTAGACCCGGGCAGTCTTGCTCAGACCCAGCTGGACCCGCTCAGCCCCGCTCATTCTCCGTCAGCCCCGCTCAGCCCCGGCTCAGGCCGCCCCCACCGGGGGATGCTCGGGGGATGCCCGGGGGCAGCGCCGTTACCTCGGGGTAGTTCTGGCCGAAGGACTCTGCGGAGGAACGGGAAAGCGGCGGCTGAGCGAGAGGCGGCCCCGCCGAGCCTGCCCGGCTCCCCCGCCCCGCTCCGGTACCGGCACCGGCCACCCCCCATTCCCGGTGCCGCCGCTGCCGGCCCCAGCCCAGCCCCGCTCCCGGTGCCGCCCCAGCTCCCTCCTCATTCCCATTCCCAGCCGCGCCTCCTCCGCTCCCGTTCGCACCGGGCAGCTCCAGGTTCGTGGTGCCGCCGTCCCGCCCCCGCCGTTCCCCATTCCCTCTCCGCTGCCATTCCCGCCGCCTCCGGTCCCGCAGTGCCCGTTCCCGTTCCCTATTCCCACTCCCGCTCCCCGTTCCCTCTCCCGCTCCCCTACCCGCTCCGGTTCCCATTCCCCCTCCCGTTCCCGCTCCCTCTCCCCATTCTTGTTCCCGTTCCCATTCCCGTTCCTTCTCCTGTTCCCATTCCCCGTTCTCCCTCCCGCTCCGGTTCCCCGTTCCCATTCCCCCTCCCATTCCCGTTCCCGTCCCCTCTCCCGTTCCTGTTCCCACTCCCCGTTGCCCCTCCCGCTGCGGTTCCCGCTCCCGTTCCCTCTCCCGTTCCCGCTCCCCGTTCCCATTCCGGTTCCCGCACCGAGCAGCTCCAGGTTCATCGCGCCGCCGCCGCCGCCGCTCCCGCTCCCTCCGCTCCCGTCGCCGAAGGACCCCGCGGGGGCCTGCCCGGCGCCGCGCCTCGCCGTTTGCCTGCCCAACTGCCGCTGCTTTCCCCCGCTCCCGCCGCGGCTCCCGGCGCCTCCCGGGCCGGTTCCGCCCGCCCCTCCCGACGGGCTTGGGGAGCGGCGCCGCTCGCTCCCGGTGCGGCGGCGGGGCCGGGAATGGGCGGCGGCGATCAGGCAGCGCCGCGGGCAGCCCCAGCGCGGCGCGCGGAAGGGGCCGGGTGGGGGCCGTGGCCGCGCAGGAAGGTTCCGGGAATGGGGGAGCGGTAATAAAGTAGCACCACTAATTAAATTAATGAAAATAATTTTTATTCTAATAATTAACTGAAATACCAGGGGAAAGCTGGGCCCTTGCTGGTATTGCCTGGATTTCTACTGGAAAGGACTGGCTGCTTTTGGAAAAAAGGAAAGAAAAAATAAAATTAAAGGAAAGAAAAAATAAATAAAATAAAATAAAATAAATTAAAAAATAAAAATAATAAAAATTACAAAATAAAACATAAAACATCGAACAATAAAAAATATAAAATAAAATACTAAAAATAAAGAAAAATAAAGAAAAATTAAAACAAAAATAAAATTATAAAAATATTAAAAATAAAATAATATAGAATATTAAAACTAGAGGAAAAAAAGAAATAAAATAAAATAAAATAAAATAAAATAAAATACCCCTGATTTGAGGGATAAAAAGCTGTGGAATCACCCAACACCAACTCCAGGCAGGCAGAAAAATTCCACCGGGAAATTCCCAAAAACCCAGCAGGGAATTGTGGGGGTGGAATCGCAGGCACCGAGCTCGGGCTTCACTGCTTTTCATCACTCCCGCTCCTCTGGCGCCATCCCGAGGCCATTCCCGCTTTTCCAGGGGTTTTTCCTCAGAGACATTCCTGCTTTTCCACCGGATTTCCCTAATGGCCATTCCCCAATTTCCAGAGCTTTTTTCCGAGGCCATTCTCACTTTTCCAGAAGATTTCCCCAAGGCCATTCCCATTTTCCCAGAGGATTTCCCTCAGGGCCATTCCCACTTCTCCAGAGCTTTTCCCTAAGGGCCATTCCCGTTTTCCCAGAGGTTTTCCTGAGGCCATTCCGACTTTTCCAGAGGATCTACATAAACCCACTCTGGAATGGCAGAGCAAAAAGTGGATCCATAAAATTCCCACTCTGGAGTGGCAGAAGAGGTTAAATCCATTAAAAAAACCCTCTGGAATGGCAGGAGAGGTTGGATCCATGAAAAAAAAACCACTCTGGAATGGCAGAGCAGGAATTGGATCCATAAAAACCATTCTGGGAATGCCAAAACAGGGATTGGATCCATAAAATTCCCACTCTGGAGTGGCAGAAGAGGTTAAATCCATAAAAATCCCACCCTGGGAATGCCCAAATAGGGATTGGATCCATTCTGGAATGGCAGGAGAGATTGGATCCATAAAAAAACCACTCTGGAATGGCAGGAGGGAGGATGGATCCATCCAAATCCACTCTGGGAATGCCAAAACAGGGACTGGATCCATAAAAACCCCACTCCGGAATGGCAGGAGATGTTAAATCCATAAAATTCCCACTGTGGAATGGCAGGAGAAGTTGGATCCATGAAAAAACCACTCTGGAATGCCAACAAAGGGATTGGATCCATAAAAAATCCCACTCTGGGAATGCCAAAACAGGGATTGGATCTACTCTGGATCCATAAAAACCCCCTCAGGAATGGCAGGAGAGGTTAAATCCATAAAAATCCCACATTGGAATGGCAGAAGAGAGGATGGATCCATCCAAATCCACTCTGGGAATGCCAAAACAGGGATTGGATCCATAAAACCCCCACTCTGGAATGTCAGGAGAGTTTAGATCCATAAAATTCCCACTCTGGAGTGGCAGGAGAGGTTGGATCTGCCCCCATCCCACTGGGAATTCTGGCACATCCCCCCCCAGGGGCAGAAAATAAATAAAAAAGGCCATTTTTGATTTTTCTTTCCTCCATAAAAAGCTCCTGAATCCATTTTATTGCACAAAGAAAGGAAAAGATTCCCACTGAAGCCATCCTTGGGCAGCTGGAATTGCAGCCAAGAAATTCCAACCTTCCCTGGGGACTCCAGCTGGAGAATTCCCAACTCCTCAGTTCCTCGTGGAGCCACCAAGGGGCGTCTCCTGCTCCAATTCCACCCCAAAAATGCAGGAAAAATTCCAGGAATTTGGGAAAAACAACCTTGTCCAGGATCCCCCTCTTCCCTATCCCCATTTTTTAAATTCTTTCCAACCAAATTCCAGCCCTGGAGTGAAAGTGAGGGGAAGAAGGAAAGATCTTTCTTCCCATCCAACTTGGAGAAAAAAGCTGGAAAATCCTCATTTTTTTAAATATTCCTGTGCACACTCAGCCCAATGAATTCCAAGCCCCCAAATCCTGATTTTAAAGGAATTTTGGCACTTTTCTCCCATGGAAAAATCAAGATTTTTAAGGATTTTTGTGGTGGTACAAAGCAGAACCTCTGAGGAATGCAGTGTGGAAGCGAGGGAAGGTTTCTCCAGCCATTCCAAGAAATTGAAGGAAGCAAAGGAGAGGGGAAAAAGAGGAGGAAAAGGTGGGATTAGGGATCAATAGCTTATCCAGTGGGGTTTTCCAAGTCCCCATAGAAAAAAAAATTAATAAATGGAAGCTTTGCTCCTGTCCATGTAAACATTTCCAGCTCCTTGGAGCTTCCCAACATTTCCTTATCCTAAAGTTTGGGGCTTTTTCCTTCCTCTCCCCTGGAATTGCTGCCAAAGGCAGAGGGAGGAGCAGGATGGCTCTCCTGGGGGTTTGGGAAGGGATTTTCCCATCCCAGGGATCCCTCCCAAGGCTTGGGGTGGGGTTGGCAAAGGGTTTGGGTTTTCCATCCCTCGATTCCATGGGGAGAACGGGATTGGGATGGAGCTGTCACCCCCTGAGCCCCACAGAATTCCATAGGGTCGGATTGGGATGGAGCTGTCACCCCCCTGAGCTCCTCCCTGTCCCCCACAATTCCACAGGGATACCAGGATTAGGATGGAGCTGTTATCCCCATCCCAAACAATTCCATAGGGTGGGATTGGGATGGAGCTGCCACCCCCCTGTCCCAAACAATTCCACAGGGAGAACAGGGTGGGATTGGGATGGAGCTGTTACCCTCCTGTCCCACAGAATTCCATAGGGATACCAGGATTGGGATGGAGCTATCACCCCCTGAGCCCCACAGAATTCCATAGGGTGGGACTGGGATGGAGCTGTCACCCCCATGAGTTCCCCCCTGTCCCACACAATTCCATAAAGAGAACAGGATCAGGATGGAGCTGTCACCCCCCTGTCCCACAGAATTCCTTAGGGTGGGATTAGGATGGAGCTGCCACCCCTCAGAGCTCCTCCCTGTCCCAAACAATTCCATGGGGATACCAGGATTGGGATGGAGCTGTCACCCCCCTGTCCCACACAATTCCGTAGGGATACCAGGATTGGGATGGAGCTGTCACCCCCATGAGTTCCCCCATGTCCCCCACAATTCCACAGGGATACCAGGATTGGGATGGAGCTGTTATCCCCATCCCAAACAATTCCATAGGGTGGGACTGGGATGGAGCTGTCACCCCCCTGCCCCACACAATTCCATAGGGATGGAGCCGTCTCCCCCCGGAGCCCCTCCCTGTCCCCCACAAATCCATAGGGATACCAGGATTGGGATGGAGCTGTTATCCCCATCCCAAACAATTCCATAGGGACAACAGGACTGGGATGAAGCTGTTATCCCCATCCCAAACAATTCCATAGGGTGGGACTGGGATGGAGCTGCCACCCCCCTGTCCCCCACAATTCCATAGGGATAACAGGACTGGGATGGAGCTGCCACCCCCCTGCCCCACACAATTCCATAGGGATAACAGGACTGGGATGGAGCTGCCACCCCCCTGTCCCACACAATTCCATAGGGATAACAGGACTGGGATGGAGCTGCCACCCCCCTGTCCCCCACAATTCCATAGGGATGGAGCCGTCCCCCCCGGAGCCCCTCCCTGTCCCCGCAGCTCCGCGCCAGGGCCGGGGCTGGAATTGCCCAATTCCCGCCTCAATTCCCGCAATCCTGCGCCGGTTCCCGCTCAGGTGGAGTCATCCAGGCCCTTGTGGGGGTGCTCGGGGGGCGGCCGGCAGAGCCTGTCCATGATTCCCTGCAGCATGGGCTGCACGATCCCCAGCAGAGGCCGCTGCGAGGAGTCCCCGTCCCAGCACGCCTCCATCAGCTGCCAGCATTCCTCGTCAAACACCGGGAGCCGCTCCGGCCGCACCCCTGCAAACACAGCGGGGTCACCGGGAATGCCGGGAATGACCAGGGAAAAACTGACCGCATCCAGGGGAAGCACATTGAGGGGCTGGGTGGCACAGGGAATCACCAGGAATGCCAGGAATTCCAGGGAAAACCCTGCCCGCATCCAGGGAAAGCAGGTGGAGGGGTTGGGTGGCACAGTGGGATCACCAGGAATGTCCAAGGAAAGCAGGTGGAGGGGTTGAATGGAACAGGGGATCACCAGGAATTTCCAGGGAAAGTAGGTGGAGGGTTTGGGCGGCACACTGGGATCACCAGGAACGCCAGGAATTTCCAAGGAATGCCCTACCCACATCCAAGGAAAGCAGGTGGAGGGGTTGGGTGGCACAGGGAGATCACCACAAATCCAGAGGGGATCACCAGGAATTTCCAGGGGAAGCCCTGCCTGGTGCTCACATCCAGGGAAAGCAGCTGGAGAGATTGGGTGGCACAGAGAGATCACCAGGAATATCAGGAATTTAAAGAGAATGCCCTGCCCACATCCAGGGAAAGCAGGTGGAGAGGTTGGGTGGCACACTGGGATCACCAGGAATTTCCAATGAAAGCCCTGCCTGGTGCTCATATCCAGGGAAAGCAGGTGGAGAGATTGGGTGGCACAGAGGAATTTCACCAGGAATTTTCACCAGGAATTTCCAAGGAAAGC